GTCTGTTGTTTTGGATTCTGCTACTTTTGCTTCTTTCTTGCGATTTTTCTGCCTCAAACTGCTTGCCTTGATTTATTTATTATTTCTTCCTGCTTTGTTCTTTCTGCTTAATGGCTTAATGTTTTCTGCTGTGCATGCTCTAGAAATTTGCCTAACAACATCGCGTAGTGGGGCGAGGGTTTGTATCGTGATCAACTGCCGTCGCCTATTCACAGGGCGATTTTCAGGTATGTGATCAACCGCCATCGCCTAATGACGGGACGGTTCAAGAAATGTCATCAAGCACCATCGCCTAATGAGGGAATGAGGCGACAGGCTCAACCCATGTGATCATAGTGAGGAGTTAAAGCAATGCGATCGACTGCAGTCGTCTAATGTCGGGGTGGATTCAGAAACGTGATCTACCGTCATGCCTATGAGGGGGCATCACAAGGAGTGTGCACGAGAATTTGCAAAATTCAACAGCGGCATTTCGCACGACAACAGACGGACAAGCAAACAACATCGCCACAACAACAACCGGAGGATCGTCAAGTGGTTTGGGATCTTTTTTTTGCGGACACTATGACCGTCGGCGGCTTGTGTTTTGCAACACGACACGAGGTGTGGCATGGACGAATGGAGCTTGAAAAAGCGGCAAGAGGAGCCATGTGTGCATCGTGCTGTAGCGTGTTGTTGCACGCCACTGTTCGCCGGAAATGCAAGGACAAAATCTGTGCTTTGGGATTAAACAGTCCCGGGGTAGCATCCTCAGAACAACAGCTGCCGCCTCATGCATCGCATGAGGTCATCCCTGGGTGCCTGTAAGGCACAGAAAATCAAAGCCATCAACAGCCGACGGGCCGAACTTCTGCGTGAGCAGAAGGTGTGCAGCGGCAGAGATCTTCGTCATTGATGAACGATGGTTTCCAACTTGACTCAAAGGCCCTGGCCAGAGGATTGAGGCGATCAGTGGGCGAGGAACATCTTTGTGAGTGGTGTGGGGGGTCTCACATTCGACATGAGCAATGATGCTGTGGCGCACTGTCTGTTTTCAGGACATCGTCGTGCAGCTGGGCTCTCGAGGGAACTGGAGAAACGTTTCGTCAGCTCTCGGATCGGTTGTTCATTGCAAGGCGAAGCAACGTGAAAGCGCAGCAGGTTGCTGTCAAGAAGCCTCCAGCTCAGCATCCGAACACGCAGGAGCTTTGCTGAAGTCAAGCTGCTGCGGTGCTGCGGAGACGTAACAAGGTCCCGTCAGATGTTCGGGTCAATGTGATGCGCCAAGTCCGGGCTGCCGCGAGCATTCCTTCTGTTAAGCCGCTGCTGCCGAGGGATTCCCACCGAAAGCCCATGCCCAGCGAGGAGGCTTCAGAAGGGCAGGGTGCCGAGTTGCACACTCACACGGGGACAGGCTGCATGTTTGTAAGATATGCCAGCGAGTTCGTACCGTGGGGCAGTTTGGACTTGACAGATCCTGCACTAGCTGCGGGTATGGTTAGGTGGCTCAGAAAGTTGGCCATTTGCACTCCGAAATTTATTCTTGGGTTGTTGAGTGACCTTGGCAGGAGGTCCAACTGGCTGAGCTTGCAGAGCTTTGGTACTTATGTCCACATCACAGGCAGGAGGAGCAACAGTTGCGAAAGCAGCAGCGCGAACGACTTAACATGGAGCGCTCCACGAAGCATGGAGCAAGGACCAGACCAGGGATGCAAGCGATGGGGTATGCAAAAAGGCGGGTTGGGCAGGAGCTGCGTAAGGAGGAAGAGAAGGGCAAGGGCGCGACCAACAAGAGAAGGGCAAGAATCACAGCAAGCACAGAGTCCAAATGGTAACATCAACTCCCAGGAGAACAGGTAGCCAGCAATGAAAGAAGCAGGGCTATCACAGTAACCACTGGTGCGACAACAAAATCGGAGGAAGTGGTGACAATGACGGTGACCACTGCAAGACGAATAGCAAGAAAGCAGCCACACTGTAACCACGGTCAGACCATCAGCAAGGCTCTGAAAACACAAGTGCAAGAATACCGACACGACCAACCGCAGCGTCAAGAAGGTTTACAAAACTGTAATACTACAAGCACTATTATTACTAGTGTACTGATGACCAACGAATGAATCCCTCCGGCCTCGCCGGATTTATCAACGCCTCAACAGGGGACGTATCCCTTAAAAAGCACTGACAGGGGGGGGCGGGGTACCTTAATCCACGTGGATTGCAAGTTCTTTTCCTTGTTGGCCGGGGGGGCCTACCCCAAGTGCTTTTCTGAGCTTCTGTCGGATTCATCAAACCTCGCTAGCTTTGTCGGCTGTCCTGTCGGGTTGCCCAAGGCGCCTGAAATCTCAGCACCTGCAATTGTCACTTTCAGCCAACTCTTGGTTGTAGGTTGAAGCAACTCTAAACCCAAAAACCTTAAACCCAGAAGCCTTGAACCTAGCAACCTTAAACCCAGAAATGCTAAACCCTGAAACCCTGAACGCGGAAACCCTAAACCCAGAAACCCCTCAACCCCCAAACCCAGAAGCATCCAGAAACCCTGAACTCAGAAGCTCTAAACCCAAAACCCAGGGACCCTGAACGCAGCAAGCCCAGAAACCCCAAACCCAGAAACCCAGAAACCCCAAACCCAGAACCCCTGAATCCCGACATCCTAAACCCAAAAACGGCTTGTCTGAGTTGTGAGCGCGTAAACCCCAAACCCCGAAACCCTACTCGTAAACCCTGAAACCGGAAGCCAGAAACATCCAGAAACCCTGAAACTCAGAACTCTAAACCGAGAACCCTGGAACTTTTAGGGGTTTAGGATTTCTGGGTTTACGATTTCTGGCTTTCAGGGGTTTGGGTTCAAGGGTTCCGGGTTCTGGCTTTCTGGGTCCAGCATTTCTGGGTTCAGGGCTTCTGAGTTTAGGGTTTTAGGATTTCTGGGTTTCTGGTTTATGTGGGTTTAGGGTTTCAGGAGTTTTGGGTTTGGGGGGGTTGGGTTTCTGGGTCTCTACAGACCCCAAATGCACTTCAAATGGACTCTGAAACACTTCAAACGCATCCCACACGCATCCCAAATGCACCCAAAACGCAATTTCCAGATGCACGCATCCAAAACGCAATTGAAACGCACAAAATACAGCATTTCCAAAGTTACTGTAGTAGGCGACAGGTTTTCAGAATGCTAAATTTTCTGTATTCATACTTCGTTTACAATTAATTTTTGTTCTATGTTTGAACACCTGCTGTTTCCGAAAGTTTTTGTACATCAGCATGCGGGACATGTCCATTCACATCGCCGTAATGCGGGCTGCTTGGCGAAAAAACTGAACGTCGTAAGCCGCCACTTGGAAGCCAGCGCATGCCATCATGAGCAATATTTTCAATCACTGTTCGGTGTCTGCCCGGACGTAGGTCTCCGTACGTCAGGGCATTCCGTTTTGGTCGAAAGCCAGGGGCGGTTATTGGGAGATAGGAGGAGTGATGAAAGTGTGTATTGCCTCCAGCTTGCCCAACCCCCCAACTTATGCGTGTACAGCCTGTTCTTAGAGGGTCATCCCTACTCATGCCAAGTTGATTTCCTGCGCCGGACCTGGTTAAAGCACTTGGAGGGGCCCCCCAACAAGGACCCATCTTATGCCCTTCATGACGCATAGCGATGTGTGTCCATGCTTCCAAGAGCACAGAGCACATGGCTAGGGCTACTGCTGCAACTCAAGTGCCAGCTAGCCGCTTACCATGTGCTATAGACTGACTGCGATGCCCTGACTAAGGTTGGCACACAGCCTGCAAACAGTGTTGCGGGTGTCGCAAGAGTTGGAATCCTTGCAGAAGGAGGTGGCCGCAACTCGCTCTGGCATCCGAAGGTTTTAAATTTAACCAAGGAAGTTGGTAGAGAGAAGAGATGTTTGCTGCAAGCAACTTTCAAGTTCCCGCGGTCAATGCTACTAGCTGCTGCCAGGTTCAGCAGCTAGAAAAGGCCACCTTTGAGAGTGAAATGTGGCTTTCCATGCCAATGCTGTGATTTTCCAGAGACACCGCTTCCAGAACACTGCGCCAGGCAGAGAAGGCAGAGCAGCAGAAAGGGACGCAGGTTCGCTAGACGACGGCTTGTGGGAAGTCGTCAAGTACGGAGTATTCTTGAATATGAGAGAGCCCCGGCCATCCTGGCCGGAAGCTCAAAGTGGCCAGGTCAAGGTCAACTCGCTGAATGATTGGTTTGGTAGGCACGATGCCTCTGTGCAGTCTCTGCAGCCTGCTGGCCATCGATCCACTGGACTTGCAAGGTATGGTGAGCCGAAGCGTCAGTCGCAGCCGGTCGAAATGGTTGGGTTCTTGGTTCGCGAAGCTTGTCTAGGATCAACTCTGATCATTGATTTTGGGACCCAGCTGCTCTAATGTGGTCCGTGTCCTAGGCGCGCTCTTGCATCATGAAGCCTCGGAGACTCCCCTTCCTGGGTGCGCCTCTTGTCCTTCGAGCTCTGATCTATGTCGAGAAGAGCACAAGCCAGAATGCTTGTCAGAGAGTCGCATCAGCTGCGAGAGGAACGTCGAACGCCGTAACCTTGCGCAAGGGGCATCTCATCAAGTGAAGTTGTCGATGAGTTGTTTAAGAAGGCGAAGCTTTAGTGACTGCCTCATACCAGATTCCTCGAGGGTGTTAAATGCACCGGCTAGCTGTCCACTCCTGAGAACGCGGCCTTCCAAATCTGGAGGTGCGGGGAGTGCATATAATCATACAGTTAGCTCCGAGGGAAATATCTTCGCACTTCGAGTTGCGAGAGCCACAAGGGCATGTGGAGAGCATGCTCCGCAGAGTCCCTTTTCTCAAGGCAATAACAAGATGTACACTGGCATGTGCACTTGATTTTCATGCCATGGAGCAGATAGCAGACATGCGCAATAAAACGGTTATAAAACATCCTTTAATGGATCATTATCAGCGAGTCCAGACCAGAAGATGCTAAAAGCACAACTCATCGAGCACCTCACTGCAGGGTTTTCGCTGCTGCAAAGCGCTGCCAAAGCTCACCGCTATGGAGTACGACTGCTGGGAGGGCGAACATGTTTTAGGGAAGTGGCCTTCAAGGTGCCGCAAACTGGCCGGGAAGCTGGTTCTGACAGCCACAAGGTGCGGCGGATGTTGCATTGCATCATTGTTGGAGAAACCGGGGTGTTGCCGTCAAACGGGGTCAATATGACCTGTAGATGCATGACGAGCTGGGCGCTGTGACAGGGTGTAGAGTCGGATGGACCCTGGCGCCAGGCTGGTCCATGTGCCGGACCTCCACGACGAGCAGAACGGACCATTGCACTCAAGCGACGTCACATTTTGGTTTGGCTGTGCTTGTCTTGAGCCGGTAGAGGAAAAAGCTTGACACTGACAGACTCATTGTCTGACCGAGGAAACCCGCTCGAGATTCAGCTAACAGGAGAAAGGAGTGTAAAGCTCGAGATCTCCAAGAAGCGTCCTGGTTTTGATGAGGCCCTGGTGCGCCTATCCAACCTACCTACTCCGCCAGGAAAGCTGGTGATTGAGTTTACTTGTCCCGAAAACAAGTGGGCGCATTTGAGCGAGCTTTCGGAATGGATGCGGGCCCGTGAGGAGGAGGCCAAACGTTTGGAGGATGAGCAGCGGCAAGAAGCAGAAACACTCGGGGAGCAATTGCGCTCTGTTTGGGCTTCTCCGGATTTGCACCAGCAGTACCAGTACTTGGTGAAGCAAGCTGGGATCCTTTCGTCCTCAGAATTCTTGAAGCAACATGCGCAGGAGATATCGCTTCTTAAGCCACTGCCAGAAGCACCAGTGGTTGATCTGGCTCCCCTGCGTGTCGTCGCTGCTGCGCACAAGTCTGACCGGACGGTCAGTCAAGAAGACCGCTCGGCAATTTTCAAAGAGCTTCCTGCACTGTGTCAGCTCCACTCTGCAACGGTGCCTTCGATGATGACAGAAGCAGAATTCTGGGAACGCTGCCTTAAAAGTCGTTACTACTTGTTCGCTGCTGGGAAGGATGTGCCGGCTTCACATCCTGAGGATAGGTTGTTTGACTCGCTCACCACCCCAGAAACATCCCAACCGTCGCCGTCTTTTCAAACCATGCTATCGCACCTGGAAGCAGATTTGACGGGCGAATTTGAAGCTGACAAGCCAGCAAAGAAGCGTCGGACCACAGCTACTCTCATCAGTCGGCTGAACGAGCGAAGTGCCGGTGCCACGGCAAGTTTGGAAGGCGGCCCCAGGTCAGGACCAGAGGGTCGAGACTCGGTGGACAGCAGAGACCTCCGACAAGCGGTGGAAAAGCGACGCTCTGAACTGCGGCAGGTAACGAAAACCTTTCAGGAGGATCTGGGAGCGACAGCTTCAGCAGCACCGCAAGCTCCACGGTTGCAATTGAAGGCAGGCGCAGGCGCTCTGTCTGCAATGTCAAGCCTTCCTGAGAAAGACCGTGTGGATGTGACGGCTCAAGACAGCCAAGCAACGCCGACAACGTGGAAATCCAAGTGCAACGCGATATGTTCAGAAGCTGGCACTCGATGGGTTCTCAAGCACTCGACTGACGAGCTTCTAGCCGCTGAGCGGCTGCTCCCGGGAAGCAGCAGTGGGGATACCCATGTGGTCACGCCGGAGCCAGTGACCAGGGCGGTGACATTGCTGCGCCACTTTTGGTCGAGTCGTGTCACCGAGAAGAGCATGCGGGCGAAGCTGGCAAGGGAAGCCCGGAATGTGTTGAATATGTTGACGGAAATCGGCACAGGGGCCGCCGTTGCAGGCAGGCACAAGGCTGCCATGGCAAGGTCAGTCATGCCAGCACTGCAGGCAGCACTGGACCTACATGCCTCGACTGTTGGAGCAGCGGGTGCCCCAAAACTGGGCGAAGCGCATGTTGTTAATTTCAGACATGCTGTGTCGAGCAAGTCTCCATGTGTCAGTTTCCATTGCCGCACTTGCAGCATGTTGCCCGTCTCCATGGCTCTAGTGCATATGTCCATGTCCCGGAACTCAGCACCATGTCCGCCAAACTCGGGCAATAGAAGCAACACTAGCTGTCAGGTTGATAGAAGAACATGAAACCGCGAAACTTCCAATCAAATTTGTCGAGGTTTTCCACCCGAAGCAGATTTTCATCGAGTTGTTGTGTAGCGCTTTTGTTGGCTTCTTTGCTTGGGCTTTGGTGCTCGCACTTTGACTGTCGAGCTGCCATGCCATCAGTCTGAGCGGAGCCCCCGGCGAGTTGCAAAGGCAGTTCAGTGCAAGGGAATTCGCAAACGGTCGGACCCGAAAAATTGTTGACCCAGTCGTAGATCTGACATGGGCGGCTGCAGACGCTCGATTTCGCAAGCACCCGCATAAGACAGGCACCATGCAATGGCACCACAGCAGATCAAAACCGGGCCCAGATCAATGAAAGCCCGTGCAAAATATTCGATCGCTCGGAAACTGAAGACCCAACGCTCCCAAGATGGCAGGATGAGATGCATCCGGCAGATCATCGTACTAGCATGCTGATCTTTTCCATACTCAGAGACATGTGAATCGACCTTACCGCTGCAGGGGTTGCATAACTGCTTCCATGGCAGCCTACAACACCAAAACCACCAACAAGACGGGTGCGCAAAAGAAGCCTTGTTACCTGTTTTTTGACCAATTACTGGTGCAGAGATACAAGCAGCACCTAGGCTCAGACAGCCAGACGCCTCGAAGACTGCACCAGCCAGAGCTTGGGCCTCCAAGTTTCCAGGAAGCTTGCAAGCGAGGCCTTCACGTACGAATAGCAGCATTTGCTTGCCGTCACACAAGTGCTGTCTGTAGCGGCACCTGGGGTCTGTTGGTGAGGGTTGTAACGGGAACCGGCACGCGCCGTAACTGCAACCACGATTCAGAAACCAACCACGACGTAACAGGAACGAGGGGGACATGTAGCATAAACTGGACGGGATCAGCAACTGCAACCTGCGAGAGATGTACCGGAAACCCACCGGACAATGAAACCGAGACTGGGCTTTCGGTTGAGGCTTTAAGTTGCAGCGTTTACTGCCAGAGCCCTTCGAACTCTACAAAAACCAAGAAATTAAAGGCCCTTTTCTGAGCCCTTGAAAGCCTTTAACAGCCCTGAGAAGCCCTTTAAAAGCGCTCTTTAGAAACACTTAGCCGTTAGTCCTTATGAACGCTTCACCCAAGAACCCAAAATTTATAACCCTTCATCCCCAAGACCCTAAACCCCCCACCCTTAAACACTACACCCTTAGACAAAAGCCTTACTTCGCCGCTTCCTGTCCCCTTCCTGTTCCTCTTCTTTTCCCTTTCCTCTTCCTCTCCTCCTCCTCTCCTCCCTAACGCCTAAACCGTCAACCCGTAGGAGAAATAACCCAGAAATCCACCCCCCCTTCAAAACTCATCGGCTGTGAATTGTAACTGTAGCATGGAAAGCTCTACGTTTCCTCCATTCATACACTCCCCCCTCCAAGACACCTCGCTTGTGAGATGAGATGTGTGACTCCTGTAAGGTCTCCACCGACTGTGCGCAGCTCCAGCTGGATTTCGGGTGCAAGTTGCGAATGCTCCAAAACAGCAAGTGCCCTTACGGTTAGGCTGTTATTGGGCAGACAATGCCACTGGAGTGACCTCCCTTCTGTGCCGTGTGTGGCAGGTTTGGGGTTTGCCGATGTGCACCTGGTGACCGAGTGCTTGCATTTTCTTGTGCTGTTGTTGCTGGTTACATTCCTGTTTGGGTAGACTTGTGGCCCAAGCAACTCGAGCTGGGTTTAGGGTTCAGAGATGCAGAATTGGGGAGCTCCCGCATTCGGGAAGGGCAAGGCGCAGCCAGCCTACGGAAAGGCCAACCCTGTTCCAGCTCGACCTGCTGGCCCTTACGGAGACAGGGGAAATACTGGCGATTGGGATTCCCCACAATGGGGGAGCCAACAGTTTGCACCTATGGCTGCGATGATGGCCATGATGATGTCAGGTGGGTTCACTGGCGGCAAAGGAGGAAGCCAGGTCAAGGGGGATCCGAAATTCTTGGTTTACGTGGCCAACGTTGACTGGAAGGCACCCCAGCTTGAACTGGTGCTTCCTAGACTTGCTAAGCTTGAGCGAAGATCAGAAATGAGTGCGGACCTCCAAGGCTACATGGCAGGAGCTGAAAGACCATATGAAACAAGCAGGCAATGTTGAATTTTGCTCCATCCTCACGGAAGGTGGCACCGACTGGGGCAGGTGGGTCTCCATGCGGTCTCTACCTACTTGCAGTGGCGAAGCGTGGCTAGTGCAGGTCGAAGGGCGTGGCTTGCGTGCGCTACGCGACGGTTGAAGATGTCGCCAATGCGATAGCGCCACTTTGCGCCAAACAGTAGAGCTTCGAGGGGATCCCACACACGTCCAGCAGAGTGAGCCAAGGACCCTAAACCAATCCGACTTCAAAGGTCGACCTATAAAGGTGGACCATTGGACGCCTGCTGGCCGAAAGTTGGCAACCATCGGCAGTAGAACGTCATACTTCTGAACTAAGGAGCAAGACAGCGAGCGTCTGAGACTGCTGGCCCGCAGCATGCAAGATACTTCCGAAGACCTTCGAAACAACATTTGTACGAGTAAGAACGAACGGCTGTTCAGGCTTTCTCGCAACCATTCGAATCATTATCCTTGAGGTGCCAGGAGGGATTGCAGTATGTACTTTCCCAACGCCACCCACCGACCGTGCCCGCACGCGACCAGTCCTTGCTGAAAGCATTGGCAGCCGATTATTGTGAAGGTGCCAACCATTATGAGCAAGCGCCTGGACAGAAATGTCTAAGCTGAGTTTGCAAGCGTTGCCATCAAGTGTCAAAACAACAGGCAGCCTTGTGGAAAACATGGTTAATGCGACAGTTGACTTGCTGGGATAATTCAGTCGCCATGTGCTTACCGGCTGGAGATTAGCATGGTGCCGTGCAAACTGAAATTCTCGAGCTTGAAGTCCATCACTAGTAGCACGAAGCCTGTGAGCGTGAATTTGCTTCTTTTAGGCAGGTTGGTTGCAGCACACGGGTCGAGCCTACTCGAGCCTATGGCCTAGGGTTTCGGTCCCGGCATGCCCACGACTCGGCCGGTTTGGGACAAGGCCCTTTCCAGCTTCATTCTTGTTTTCGATGATGATTGGACTGTGCGGGTGCCCGGCTCAGCCGGCTCTGAAAGTCCGCTCGCCCTGGTCCCGGCGGAGTATGTGGGTGATGAGTTCATGATACGGGTGATGGAGTTCCCAGGAGAGGGAAACTCGATTTCAGTGGGTGGACTGTTCTTCACCGGGAAAGAGGCACCATGCCAGGCAGGTGATCTGGGATTTCTACCCCAGTCCTTCGGAATCCGCAGTCAGAGTCCTGCGAGTGCACAGGCAGGCACGAAGGGAAGTCGGCGCGAGGCTGCTGGACTGAGGCAAGGTGACTGCATTATTGTCAAGTGGACTGGCACCGGCAGCGCTGAAGTTTTTGTGAATTCTGCGCGTATTTGGCATGGAAGTCTCCTAGCCCCTGCCCGAGCCCGTCGGTTCTTCGGCGCATCCGTCGCGGACAATGCAGCCTTGCGTATCGAGGCAACGCAAAAGCATTGCCGAACCCCCGTTTGCTACGCGGAGCACCTGCTGCAAACGCCTTTATTCTCAGACGTGCAGGTAGTTTGCTCCGACGGGTGCGTGCTTCACTCCCACAAAGCCTTGCTGGCAGCCAGTTCGTCTGTTTTTTGCCGAATGTTTGAATCTGGCATGCTGGAGTCCAAGGAATCCCGTGTCAGCATTCCAGCACCGAGGGAAGTAGTGTCGGGCTTCTTGCAGCACATCTACACCGGAGTTTTCGACCCCAATGTTGATGCCGCGGCATTGATTGAATTAGCGCATATGTACGATTTGCAAGATTTGGCGCAGTTCTGCGGGGAAGTTCTGGTCGACAATCTGGCCCCTGCCAATGTCAGCCAATGTGCTCGTAAGATTGGGCGCCTGCGTGGAAATGGAAATGGCCAGGACTTTGTCGGTTACAGTGGAAGCCCTGGCGGCTCTGTCGAGTCACACTCTGAAGATGTCTTCGAGCAAATCTGGCGACGGCTGAGCGACCGCATCGAGCGTGACCCGGGGTTGGTGAGGGCGCTTCTGGAGGGGCACGTGCATGAGAGAGACCAAAGTCAAGTCTAGCTCAGTTTCACGGTGTCTGTCCTGCCAGACACAACCCGAGAAGGGCTCTTCGGCGGCCTTCAGATCTCAATGACAGGCGGTCAGAACAGGGATGCATTTCATCGGGTTTTGCTGCCAGGGCAGCTCGACAACCATGTGCCTCACATGTGGTTTCGATGGCACTCAGAGTAGATTGCTCCATGTATCGCTTCTCCTGGTGCCTGCTTTGCAGAGGTCCGCTGCAGCTCGATCCTTTTCTTAGGCAGGGCTGGCTGTAGATCGTCCGCCGGTCCGCCCCCCCCGTGGAGCGCGTGTTGACGCATGCTCAGTCCCAACTCATAATTCAAAAGCGCTTGGAGCTGTCTTGCTGTCGCATCCACAACGACCCAGAGCAGATGCGGGGCTTGTGACCTGAGGCCTGGCATGATGAAGGCAGCTCGAGAGCGATTGGGGCTTTCTCTGTCGGTCTCCACAGCGGCACCTTGCCCAGCATGTCGCAGCTCCTGCAAGTTCTTGTTTCCACGCTTGTGGATGCCTGTGGTGGCCAAGGACCAAACACCGGGCGCCAAAGTACAGCACCAGTGTAAGATTCAGGCTCGAAATGCCGGCTTACATGCCGGTGTGATGTCACAGCAAGTTTGCCGAAGTCGTCGAAGCCCCTGAACCACGTGGTGTGGTCATCCAAGCTGGAGACTGCAGACGACATGATTCTTCCATGCTGCAGAAATCCTCGAATCATGCAACTTGTGGCGAGTTTCGGCGGTCCGTGCAGGCCACGTCTGAGGGAGAAGTCGCCCGCCGTAACCTGGCTGGATTAAGGGTAGACTGACAAGCTTTGGAAGTTTTCTTCATTCCAACTTGTTGCGGGATTGTGTGCTCAGGATACAAACTTGGTGGAATGGTGCCTGGTCTTAATTTTGCGCGGTGGACTAGTAAGATTCTGCAGCCGCACCGCTTCAGGTCATGGAGTCCACAAACCGCGGAATGGAGGTTCTTTGGGCAACGCGGCTAGCGGACGGAAAAGAGTGTGTGGTAAAGACGAGGCAGAAGGCCACAGCCGTGGAATCCGCCCATGATTTTGTGCATGGGTGCAAGCTTGTCGATGCCATGCGGTACCTTGCGAGCTTGTTTGTTTGATCTCGATCGATGCCTGACAGGGTATTTCCTTCAAAAGTGCAGCAGAAGAAAGAAATTGGCGAAGCACCACCGAGGTTCAAATGAGCATGCCGCAGCTTGGCACTCCTGCACGACTTAAATTGTTGCCAAGTGCCTGACCAGTTTTTTTTTGCCCACTGGTTTACATGCTGGTCTAGCTAAGGAGAATCGATAAGTTGTGTCAGATCTATGAGGCTGCAATCTCAGGGCTGCCAGCTCAGACAACTGATGTGGCACGCATCCGTACAGGTCCTCGAAACTCCGGAGAGATATTGCGTCTTCATGGAGAAAGTGGAAGGCCTGGATCTTGACTCCTGTGTGCCTCAGGTTTTTTTGAGAGCCGTTTTGGATTTTACAACCTCAAACCCCAGAACCAGACCTACAAAATCGTCTCAGTTTAGTGTTTTCTTGTCCGCCAGGAAAGGATCTTTTCGAGCAAATGGAGGAAGCAGAGCTGAGCCATGTCGATGCGCGGGAGGTAGTATTCCGGCTTATGCTAGATTGGACTGGAGTCAGCAGTGCCATTCCTTTGTTGCATCTGCTTGGAACGGCATCCCAGGTGCGACAGACATTGGAAGCGTTGAAGCTGATGCGTCTCGTCAAGCAGTCGCTGGTTGGAGAGCGATATGGCTGCATGTTTGTTCGTTTCCCAAGGCATGCCAGTGGACGCATTCACAAAGACCTCAAGGCAGAAAACGTCATGGTGGATCTGCCAAGCCCGGGCTCAGAGAATCTCAGCCCCAGCAGCAAACAAGCCAGCTGGCATCCCTAGTCCGGAAGAGTTTCAGAAGTTCAAGCGTGTGGCGCTCCTGGGGCATTCCTCCCAAGGAAAGCAAAGGCCAACCAACTCAATCGATTGAAAGATGGTGGAGATGCCCAGAGCCCGGCAAGTGTGAAGCTCATCGATTTCGACACGGCAGCTCGGCCTCGTGATGCCCTGGGCGATCCGCGTTTTCAGGTGGAAGCCGCGAGTCGCTGCCTCTCAGGTGGAGAACTGGGAACCCCACAGCCCCAAGGCAAAAGATGTTCTTGGCACAGATGGTTACATTGCACCAGAAGCGTACTTGGGTGCCTTGGATTTGGCAAAGAGACTGTGTTGCTCCGGCAGCGTTTCAAGCAAACCTGACTTTGACGGCTAGTCCTGGCCGGGTGCCAGGCACGTACTCGCCAGCTTCAGACATTTATTCGCTGGGCGTGGCTCCGGCCCTGGAACTGCCTCTACGCTAGGCAGACAAAAACATGAGTCGCTAGCTAAGCTGCCAAAGCCGCTGAGGTGATGTACAAGCTGCTTACCGGGAGATTCCCGAGCCGGGCCCGGCTCTCTCTCCTTCTCTCTCTCTAATCTAATCGCTTCTCCTGCTCTGCTGGAGGAAGACATGTTCGACGACCAACCGGGCGAGAACTGGGTCGGCAGCCCTGCCATGAAGAGGTGAGGAATGAAGTAAAATCGGAAGTTCGACGGAATAAAGCTGTGGCACTCGCGTTGTCCACCAGGATTCACGAACGATTGAAGAAAGCGAAGCACCCCGACGCATTCGGCAGCTTTGTGCTGGCACCAGCTTGTTTTAGTTTTCTCCGACAACTCAGGATCGACTTTTCGCGACCGCCCTTTGATCGGTGTCCGGAAGCGGTTGCTGGGTCCAATTGCAAGCGTGCAGTTGCCAGCATGCATTAGCTGGAAAAGCTTGTGCTTGTGCTGCCAAGGCAGATCTCTGTTCGAGGATGTTGGCCTTCGAGGTGACAGACCGGCCATCAGCAGAAGCAGCTCTAAAGCATGCGGTTTGTCTGCACTTAACCTCGTGGACTTAGCCCATGTGTGTGTCCCTGCGTTTTTATTGCAAAACTGTTGTCTCGAGCCCAGGCATACTTCATGCTTGAGGGTGGGAAGCTGGCTAGAAGAAGGTGATGCTAGCCGCGCACCCAGGCAGATCTACCAACAATGCAGCTCCTTGGTTCCGTGTCACTCCCTATGCGGCCTCTGCAGACTCAGACTTAGGCATGACATTTGGGGCGGAAAGTGGTGCCTGGTGCCTTTTCCCACTCCACGTACCCTTCACGTCATGGAAAGCCGGAGATGGCTGAAAGGGACAAACTTCATGCGAGTTGTTTACTTGTTCACAGACCAAGACTCGTGATGAAGCAGCCATGTACGGCTACTTGGCAAGGAGATGTTAGTGGCATTTCCAAAGGAAATCCCACGCGGGCCGAGCATTGTAATCAATAGCGGCTCGCTATTGA